AGAGGGCGTGAGAATTGTCACGTGATCTCGATGACGCAACACTACATTTAAAAGTAACACTAATAAACAGGCCTAAACCAAAAGCTGTGCATGATAAATAAGTGTATAATCTTTTAGTGGCTAAAGTAATAACTTGATACAAAATATAATATTTCATCGCCTTTGGGGTAGACATTTGCAATTTAACAACCTAGGTTAGTTTATTTTTTCCGTGTTTTGTTCTGTTAGATTAGTGGTAGAGACGTAATACTGATATTTTGAAGTGGCCAGTGTCATAGTCTCGCTAGTAGAGCTTTAACTTTGAAGTTTCACAACAGTCCAGAGGCGTCGCTAGGTGCTTAAAAGATTCGGGGCTTGGAAATTTTCGGCATTTCAGTATGATATCGATCATGGTTTTCTATTCTGATTTTTCAAGACACCAATCGGGGATTCAGGGCACGGTCAAACAGAATCGGGGCAGGGACCCTATATGCCATTGCCTATCGACGCTTCTGCAATAGTTTACTTGGAACACAATTTTCAGTACTATTTATGTTTATGTGCTCGTTCTGCTAGCCTGCAACATGTTTATATCATAGAAAAACGGTTGACCGCAGTAATACTAACAGCACTTGGATGAATGTCTGAGTGAGATTCATAGTTTATAAATAGACGAGTCCCAGTATTGTGTCAATACAATAACATGTACTGCATTATGGAAATTTGTAAAAACTGTTTATCTTTTGAACCTTAGTAGTTACTTCGAATTACTTCATTTATGCCTAAATTAATTTTCAGGTTCTTGTTATGGTAATGTATTGTTACGACAGCGGAAGTCACGTGAACCTGGTAACATAAGTTTCTAGAAGGATCATGACTGTTCCTGGCAACACTAGTGTTTGCCAGACGCTCTCTATTTTTGGATATAAGCCCGGCAAATAAAGCGGAGACATAATAGCAGATAGACAGATAATTGAGTCAAGTGAGCGGTAGTGACCATAAGTAACGTCGTGAATTGTTGTGAATTATAGCGTGTGTTGAAGTTATAGTGACCGTGGAAATTCTATGTATTGCAAAGTTGTATTGAGAAAGAATAAACTAGTTTTATTTAAGAAAGGACTTGTATCTCTGAAGTTCCTCGGGAAGAGTTTATACCGGATATTAACAAACGACCAGAGACATAACAAATTGGTGTCAGAGAGTGGGACTGAAAAAGAAATCGAAGATGGAAACGAGAAGTGGCAAATCAAACTACAGCTTAGCAGACTTGATGGCAGCAATACAAGAACAGCAAAAGAAACAAGAAGAGAGATTACAGCAGTTGTTGGAGGAAAAAGAAAAGAAACAAGAAAAGAGATTACAGCAGTTGTTGGAGGAAAAAGAAAAGAAACATGAAGAGAGATTACAGCAGTTGTTGGAGGAAAAAGAAAAGAAACAAGAAGAACCAGAAAAGAAACAAGAAGAGAGACAACAACAGTGGAAGAAAACCAAAAGAGAGACTACAGCAATGGTTGGAGGAGAAAGAAAATGAACAAGAAGAGAGACTACAGCAGTGGTTGGAGCAGAAAGAAAATAAACAAGAAGGAAGTCTCCAACAGTTAAGAGAAAGCCAGCATACACAAATGGAAAAGATAAGTAAATTTCAAAGTGAATTAAATACATTAAAGGATGATTTACTGTCTTTCATACAAGAAGGATATATTAGCCATGGACCTAATCAGCCCCAGACAATTAGAAG